TCTTGACAGTGTCACCTTGTCTCTCACAAAAGCTTATAGATTCCAAAGACATAAGGGAAAGATGACTAACTGGACAACGAATGCTTGGTGCAAAGATATTCCTCAAACAAAATCTCTAATTTCCCTAAGATTGATTCATGATAAGATGCCCACTGCTAATAATTTAATGGTTAATGAGTGTTGTTTACCTTCAATCTGTAATCATTGTCTTATGTCGGAAGAAACCTCAATGCACATATTCTTGCATTGCCCTTTTTCTGTAATTATATGGCACTAGTTATCTCAAATTATTGGCCTCACTTTATACTTGAACTTAGTCTTATATATTTTGAGAGTTTGTGAAAGTAGTGGTCTCTCCAATGCCATCTTGTCACAAAGTCTTCTCTTGTCAACATTGTTTCCATCATTTGGTTTGTAAGAAACAAACCCAAATTCCATAGTAAGATCATTAATTGGAAGACTACAATCTCTATGATTTCCTCAGTCATCTCATTGGATGGAAATCACACCACTCTCTCTTAAACCTTCCTTCTCCATTCAAGACTCTGGTTTTCGTAAATCATTCCAAATTATCATTCATCCCCCAAATGCACCTTTCATCGAGAAAGTTCTTTGGCAATCTCCAATTACCAACTGTATCAAGTGCAACATTGATGGAACATATACCACCAAGGTTGTCAAACTCGCGAGTCTACTCAGACTCGTAAAGGGTCTGCAGACTCGACTCGTAGACTCGACTCGCAAACTCGTACGAGTCTATGGAAAGTTAAAACTAACTTTCAAAAACCTATATGTGACACATACATGACACACATATGTATTTTTAAACTTAGAAATGCGTCATCTTTACACTTATATATAATAGAATACCAATTAACATCAAAATTTAAATTTCATCTCAATTGAAAACAAACAAAATAGAAAAGTATGTATTTAAAAACTTAAAGTACTAATTTCTTCTCAATTGACTACTATATAAAGAAAAAATAAAATCATAAAATATATATGATAATGGCTTTAAACATCCAAAACTCCAGTGAAATCATCACCATCATCTTCATCGGTATCTTGAGTATCATCAACAAATTCTACCTCAGATGAAACACTTTCTTTATCATTAACCAAAATTGAATTTCTTGAAGTTCCACTTCCACCTAATTCAATATTTCTACCACCACCACCACTTCGCACAACATTATTAACAAAAACAAAAACTTCCACAACATTGTTAATTATAACATCATGTTACTCAACATAACTTCAGCTTGCATATTTTCCTCATTAGGATCTTCAATTATCCATTCATCATCTTTACACAAGAGAATATACAAGAGAAACATTCAAGTGAAGCATATTATAAAATAATTATACAACAAATGATTAACTCACAAAAACAAACGTGAATAAAGCAAGAGACCTAATAAACACACACGTCTATGAAAGGATGAAGGGAGGAAGAAACCTTGTCGAAACAAGAAACTAGGAGAAAGAATTTATAATTCTCGTACAAACAAAAAAATAAGGGGTTTTTAAAAATAAAATAAAATCTTTTGGAGAATTTACGCCTTTTTTGGGTCTAAAAAAACAAAATACAAAAAAAAATTATAAACTCGTAAACTCATCATAGACTCGCGAGTCTATACGAGTTTATGCGAGTCTACCTGAGTCTACTCGAGTCTATCAAAAAATGATTCTATGCGCGAGTCTACTCGTTTTCGCTTCCTAGACTCATAAACTCGTACGAGTTTACGAGTCTACCCGCGAGTTTGACAACCCTGTATACCACAACTACGACAACCAGTGGTGACTTACTTTTAGTCTTATATTTTATTTGTAATTTTGCAACTCATTTTTTAGTTATATATTTGGGTGGTGTAGCTAGTTGCTTGGCCAACTTATTTTTAAAAAATTAATAAAATTTATTATTTATTTTATATTTTCCAAATATTTTGCATAAAAATATTAATATTTATGTAAGAAGTGTATTTTTTATTTTACTTTCCTAGATCATAAATTACTCTCTCCGTTTTAAAATAATTGTGGTTTTAGTAGATAAGATTTGTTTTAAAATAAATATTATTTTCATTAAAAAATGTAGAAATAATAATTATTTTTACAATTATGTCATTTAATTATTACTCTATAATATTTTAAATATATTTATAAGACTAATTTAGTAGAAATTAATATTTTATGATAATATTATCACATTTTTTAATATAAAAAAATCTTAACAATAGTCATTTGGAGGGAAATGAACGATTAAACTTAAATTAAAGAAGAAATGGTTTAGACTTTAGTCTATGTTTGATATTGTAAAATGAACGGAGCGGAGCAGAATAAAATAAATATGTCGTTCTATTGTTTGGGTATTTCATGACGAAATATTGAGATTTTGTCATTTCGCCTAAATCAGAAGGTACAAAAAATGATGGAAATGATGAAATGGGATGAAATGCATTTCATCTGGTTCCACTCCATTTCATTCTTTTTTAATGAATCCAAACAATAAAATTTAAGTTCATACCATTTCATTCCATTCCATCAAATCAAACATACCTTAAAGTTAGAGTCTGTTTGGTAAGACCGAAAAGAACATTTAACTTTTAGCTTTTAGCTTTTCAGCTCATTTTAATTAAAAAGCTCTGTTTGGTAATTGTCTTTTAGTTTTTAGCTTATAGTTTTTTAACTAACTTTTAACTTTTTTCTCAAAAACTATTTGAAGTAGCTTTTAGTTTTTAGCTTACTATAAAAAAAATTAATTTTAAAAAATTGAATTTATAGAGATTTTTAAGAATGCTATAATAGATTTTTACTATTTTTACAACTTTATTAGACACTATTTTTATTTATTAAATAAAATTATATAATTAATTTAGTAATAGTGTTGATAATTCTCAAATTAGTGAAACGTGAGAGGAGAATCAATGAAATCAACAAAGATGAAAAAAATTCAGAGTTTTATTTTAAAATATTAGACAATAATTTATTATTTTAGATTAATATAACTAAATTTAAAATTATAATAATATTATTTCACATATTTTATTAAATTTTATAATAAAATTAGAAAAAAAAACTATATTTTACGAAAGAATGAGTTAACCAGATCAAAAGTTGTAGTTATTAGAATTACTTTTACTTTTATATTCTCATAAATGACTTTATGAAATGCCTCTGCTTCATATATGATTTGCTAGTTCTTTTATTCATTGAATTTCGTTGTCAATATATTCATAATAAATAGCGAAACCCATAAAACTTATATATAAATTTATATATTTTGATGATATATTCAATTATATATATATATATATATATATATATATATATATATATATATATATATATATATATATATATATATATATATATATATATATATATATATATATATATATATATATATATATATATATATATATATATATATATATATATTAAAATTGATTTGCACGCGTTGTTATTAATACATTTACTTTTATCGAATAAAAATTAATTTAATAATATAATATAATTAGATAATTAAATCATCAATTTCTTAATTAAAAATGTCCTTATAAATTATTTTATAATTATCAGCTATTATAACAACTAATTTATTAAATACTCAAATTAATTTATTAGCTATAAACTACCGGTTATCAGCTATCAACTAACTATCAACTATTATCTATAAATTAATTTTACTAAACAGAATCTTATTATTGTTTTGTCATTATCAAAATCCAAATACATATGCAACTTTTTCCATTTTGGATCAGACAAATTAATAGCGAAAAGACGATTACAATAAATTCTTTTAAAATTTACTATTTCTTCCTATGTTAGAGGTGTCTGAGAAATGTCCGCAATAACTCTAAAAACGTGAGTTGGAAAATAAAAAAATTTATACAAGTCATATTCGTCATCACCACTTTGTGAAAAATTATTTATTATCAATATGTTAGAGATTTCTAACTTGCTTTCTGAAATAGTATCTCGGTCTAAAAAACATGTTTTTTTTTTTGTAGAAAAACAAATATTTTCGCAAACGGTGCGTTTAAACTCAAAAAGATCATAATCATCTTCCATTAATAATAATAGAAATAATAATAGTTAATGTTTTACTTTATGAGTAAAATAAATGAACCAATGTCTTAAGACTTTACTTACTCCGAACAACCGGTAATAATTTAGAGTAGCAAAAAAACAAAAATCGTAGGAATAGGAGTAGGTAATAAGGCTGCCAGCTGTTACCATATCACTCTTTCTTCTCTCTTTTTCTGCTATCTTCTGTTACTCAATTAGGGTTTCCTTTTTCCGATCCATGCTTTTCACTACTTTACAATAACATCATCTCTTTTCTCTCTCACTTTCTCTCTTCACCCACGGTACATCCTTTTACTTCATTTCCTTTTAATACTAACACTTGCTAAAATAACCTCTAAATTTTCGGTTATGTTCAACATTGTTGCTTTTGGTGTGAGTGTAATAGTGTGAATATTGTTATTCGTTGTTCGATTTTGGTGATCGCTCGTATTAAGTGTGAAGAGGAATAATCGGTGTTTGTTCTGTTTTTTCTTATAAGAAAAATAGTGAAATCAAAATTTTAGGGTTATTAAACCATAGTTTTGCATACTAGTTGCTATTATGGAGTGCTTTTTTAGTGACTTATTCTTAAATACTTAGTTGTGAAGAACATTGGCTTTCTATAAATTTGTATTTGGAAATTATTTGGTATTCTGAAAAAAAAACTTTTGGTTGTGATTATCCTCTTTTAGCTATTAGTTAAATCTTCACATATTAGTTTAGTCTTTAATACATACCTATCAGTTAATTTATTGGTTACTTTACCAAACAGAGCCTTAACTATTATTCTTACTTTTAATTGCAGATCTTAGGCTTGGAGTTTGAGGTAGTAGTCTGGTTCATCTCTATGTGCGGCCATTTGGCTTTTCACCGGCTTGGATTTGGTTCTCCTGTGTAAAAACTCAATGTCACCGAAGGGCTAGTAAGTTATGGGCAGCTATCAGGATGCTAATTACTATAGAGGTAAGCAATAGTAGTATGGTTTGGATTCCTTATTAGCTAATCGTGATTTTTTTTAGGTTTCCATTAGTTGCCGGTTGTATTTGTATGCTAACTCTTGTAGTTTTGTTTTATAAATCTGATTATGGTAGTATGGGTTATTGTTGGGTATTCATGCTGTAATATTTAATTTGTCATGTATCAAGAAATTCCAGTTCTCTTTTAATTCTTTATTAGATCAATGCACATTTGTACAAATTGTTGGTTTGTTTTATCTTCGAACACCATTGTTTAATGACTTCTATGTATGCTAAGTCAGTCCATGTTTATTTGTTGTAGGTTCTTGGTGCTGTCGGCTAATTTTATTTGTCATCTGGCTTCCTACTTTCTTACATGTGACAGCACACATATCACATGTCAACCATAGGCAAACCACTTCACTAGTTGAGTTAGCTAAGGAACCTACTTCTGGAGATTCTGGGCTCTTTGACCCCATAGAAATATCACCTTCTGTCATACCTAAAGTTCCATTTCCCACCGAGTCTGTCCCACCAATGTATCCTATTCCTTATGTCCCAACCAGATATGAACCAGTTTTAACTGGTAAGTGCCCTGTAAACTTTTCACGACCAGAAATTTCAAATATCCTCGATAAAGCAGCATTTGATTGCTTTGGGCCTTTAGCAACCCTCGTAGGGAATGTTGTATGTTGTCCACAATTTAGTAGCTTAATCCACATCTTCCAGGGTTTCTTTGGCATGAAATCCAATAATCTGGTTTTGTCAAATGCAGTTGCTGATCATTGCTTCTCTGATATCGTTAGTATTCTAGCTAGCAGAGGGGCAAATAGTACAATACCCACACTTTGTTCTATTAAATCATCTAATCTTACAGGCGGGTCATGCCCTGTGAAGAATGATTCTACTTTTGAAAAAACAGTAAACACAAGTAAATTAGTTGAAGCCTGCAGAACTGTTGATCCGCTTAAAGAGTGTTGCAGACCTGTTTGTCGGCCTGCAATTATGGATGCAGCACTTCAGATTTCTGGCCGGCAAATGATGATAAATAGTGACAATATGGCCGGGGAAATGAATCACACTGATTATCTAAATGATTGTAAAGGTGTTGTTTATTCTTATCTTTCCAAACAACTATCATCAGAGGCTGCAAATAAAGCATTCCGGATACTATCTGCCTGCAAAGTCAACAAAGGTACATTGTTTAACTAGTCCATTTTTAATGTTGTATATTTGGGTTTGTAGGGTATGTCAATGGCATGACTAAGCATATCATTAATGAATAATTTGGGATGAATAATATCTGGATTTAGAAAAATGTATTCAAGTGATTTTATGTTGCTGGTCTTATAGCCTACCTTAGATTTCAACTTATTTAATTATTTTTTTGATGTATTAGTTATTTCTTCTTCTTTTTATGGGGAGAGTCTAGATAAAAAAGAGAAGAAATAAGGACTTTTGATTTCATAATAATGGGGCTATATGATTGTTAATAAATATGAGAAAGTACCAAGACCTTTGAAATATGCAATATGAATAATATGATTAATAATGACTTAATACAAAAGACTGAGCACTGACCCTAGTTTATTGGGACACATACAAGATTCCCAATTCTTAATGTATAGGGAAATCATGATAATAATTATGTGATATGGAAATCAATTTTAAGGGATATTTTGAGATAAGAAACTAATATTATATGATAAACTGTGATATCCAACATACTCCCAACTCAAGATATTCTTAGATACCTGTATCCTAACAAGTTTATTACTTCAATAGAAAAGAGATGGGATTCCTTTTCTTCTTGTACAAATTTTTAAATAACAAAATTTCATTATGGTATCCTGTATAAATTAAACTTATTAGAGGGATCTTCTTGAAAACATGTATTCACGGCATATTTAAAAAGTTTGTGTTCCACAAATTGAGTTGAAACTGTTTTTTGTTTTATTAACTCGGTAAATCTTGCTTGTGCAGTTTGTCCTTTGACTTTTAAGGAGCCTTCAGATGTAATTGCTGTATGTAAGAATGTAGCTGCTCCTAGTCCTACCTGCTGCAGTTCATTAAATACATATATTGCAGAGACACAACAAAAAATATTAATTACCAATAAACAAGCTATAATATGTGCAACACAATTTGGATCTATGTTACGTGGAGGTGGGGTGATGACAAATGTTTATGAGCTTTGTGATGTCGATTTGAAAGATTTCAGCATACAAGGTATTTATACTTATGCTTAAGTGATGTCCAAATTACTTACTACCTATGGTCATTATTTAAAAATATCTAATTTAATTCTTCTTTTATTGTGACTATAAATGGAGCTATGCCAGCATTTGGAGTACAAGGTTTACTGTTTTTTCACTCCTTGTTGATTGCTGTTATTTATAATTTGATAATCTGTTCTCGCGAGTCGCGATACTTCGGAATTTATTTTATAACAACTGTTGGTTAAATATGATTTCACCGTTTGAGAATAATTTCACTCAATTTAAGTAGAATATTACATTAGGTTTTGTTAGTTGAACTTGAACCTGGCATGTGGGTGACATTTGGATTTGTTAATAAGAGTGTGTTTGGATTAAGGGAAAGTAAATTTTTTTCAAGAATTTAAAATAATTGGGCCAAAATCCACTCTTTGAATAAAAAATATGGAGAATTGTTTAAATGATGAGAGTCTATGAATTATTGTGTATGTTAAGTTTAAGGAATTTCAAGTGACACATCAAAGTGAGGAATTTGAAAATCTTCTATTTAATTCAAATGTCAAATTTGGTTATTATTAATCTTTCAAATTTTATAAGTTGGTTCCCATATTCTTTTGAAAATTTCAAATTGACCCCTAACAGGTTCAAACATTACAACTTGGTCCTAATAATTTACAAAATTTACAAGTTGACCCCTTTAAGTATTCAAATATTGCAAACTAGTCTCCTTTTAAAATTTTTAATTTGACAACTTTTAAAATTTATAAAACTAACCAAAAAAGTTTGAGAATTCTAAAATTTTTAATACTATATCCAAACCAAAGAATTTAGAAATGAAGAGAATTCAGTTTAAGCATTTGAGTTACACATAGAATTCTAAATTCTCTATAAATTTATAATTAACTCATCCAATTAAAGATTTCTAAGTACAATTTTTGTTAATTCTTACAAATATATTCAATAAGACAGGGACAGCAAAGACATGCTTTTTGTCAAGGTATGATTGAATTGTAAGTTAAATTGATATTGTTGGTTTAGATGCAGGATGTCTTCTTCGAAGCTTGCCGGGAGATGTGATATTTGACAATTCATCTGGCGTTAGCTTTACATGTGATTTAAGTGACAATATTGCTGCACCCTGGCCCTCATCATCTTCATTTACATCTCTATCATTCTGTGCACCTGGTATGAGTTTGGACATATTAACTTTAACTTGGTTTTATTTGGAGTTGTTAGCATATTGTTGTCAGCTTTTCTTAACTTGGCTTTATTTGGACTCGTGCAGAGATGTCATTACCAGCTTTACCAATTTCACAGTCATTGAAAAACATTGGTGCGTGCCATTTTGCTTCTAATTACATTTTTAATTTTTCCTATAAATTTATACCAGAGGCTGTCTGTTTGTTAATTGAATATAAATTAATTGAATACTTACTTCCTCCGTGACCTAATTAAATAGAGTAGGACTTTTAGGGCGTGCCCATGTGGCTGTCTTGAATTTCTTTCCTGAGGGTTACTGGTTTACTAGAGTGCCAGCTAATTATCATGCCAATTACTGAGCAAAATATTGACTTGTGAATATGGTGCATTGCGCAGGTTGTAATTCTGCTGGAGTGGGTTTCCTTATTATATTTTCATTTTTTGTCAGTACTGTTGTACTGAGATTTTAGGGTTTTGAAGTGTGTCAGGAAGGCATTTCAAAGTGTCTGGCATGGGTTTTGCATGTATATTTTTTAATGGCCTCGTTGTATAGCAACCCCCTCCCCCCTCCCCTTTCTATGGGTCTTCTGCCTGTTTGATCATTCTTGAGTTAGTGCTCATTTTATGTAGGATCCATAGTTGTTCTGTGAAGGTTTCAATTGTTTTTTAAATGAAATGCGTCCAAGTAGGGGGTAAAAGTTAGCACACTGAATATCTGCTCTTGTTATACGATACCAGTAACAAAAGGCATGGTACCCAGACAATCCGTTGATACAAGTGCTAAGCCTTTTTTTTAGAAAAAGAAAAATAAAACCGGCAATTCAATGAAAAATTAGGGAATTGTCAATCCCAAGTGGGGGGAAAAACACCCTACGAAAATCTGAAATTGCGGCTTTGATTTCGGTGATGTTTCTTCAGACATTTCTGCGCCCACTCAAACACGCAATAAGTAAGGTGTATCTCCAGAACAATTTCATGTACAAATGCATTTCTCAGTGAATGGGTTTTTTTTTTTTTTTGAAGATTCATCTCTATATTCACCCCAGCTGTAAATCCCAGATGTAATTTACTAGACAGTAATTTAGAGATGCTTTGATGAATTTGACGAAGGTAGTATTATTTAAATACAATATGCATTCTACACCCTGACCATCCTATATAGGGACCCAGTGAATTATGTGTATTCAACTTGTCAAGTACAGACTTGTGAACCTACACGAGCAAAACAAAAATAATAAACATACACCAACGAAAGAGAAACAAAAAGGCAATTTGGAGGATAATGCAAAATCTAAGATAATGAATCTTTCAAGCATAAACTTAATGAGCTCATCCATCCTTTACTCGTATCTTCTCTGCAAGAAAAGCAAGGAAATTCTGACTTTCGTGACTCCGTAATGCAAGGTTTCAAAAGTAGGTGATAGAGGTATTTATTTTAACAAACAATTGTGGGCAAAAGCTGAGAACAAATTGTTGTTAACAACTTTTGGTTTCTTTGATGAGTCAACCATCTTCGAAGAAAGTCCTCAAATGCTGCAACATTTGTATAAATCATCTATGAATTATTATGAGATACAGAGGAAAACATAGATTGAAGAAGATTATGTTGGTGGATTTAACAACACGTGAAAAACACACATGTTGGCACGACGACAATGAGGGAGAACATGTTTTTGTTTCTTTTCACATTTATCATTTTATCCTCGCATGTTCTATCCACCTCTGATCTAATCCTTACCAAGGTTGACCGTCGTGTAAGTCATCTCATCCCTTTCATTTCACCATTTAAGGTTTCGATCTCGCTTCATTTCAATTTCTCATATCTACCATGTTTCTATCTTTTAAATTCATTGAACAAAATGCATTTTCTTTTTCATAAAACATTATTGAACTTGATGTTTCGTTGCTTCTTATGTTCTTTTATCGAATGTGCACTCGCCATGCTTTGGAAATTGGATTCATGTAATATAATAGCATATGATGCTTAATAAAAGAGGAATTATGACCATCATTGTATTATTTATGCAAAAATTGAAGCTGCTGACTCATTATAAAAGAGGAATTATGACCATCATTGTATTATTTATGCAAAAACTAAAGCTGCTGACTCATTTTTTCCACAAACTCGTTCACAATCACGTGACTGGAACTTTTTATTAATTTATCTTAGTTTAGGGAGGTTTAAAACCCCCACAATCCAACATAAAAAAGGATGTGCCAACCAAATGCAACATGTATGCTCTCAAAACGTATGCTTTATGCTGCACAACCTGCTTGTCATCACTAACAGCCTACTCTGCATCATTCAGCTACTGTGTGTACAACCTATCAAGGAATTGAAACCTATCATGAACCCCTAAATGATTTCTAACTTCTTCATGGTTTCTCCTGGGTCAACTTCCAATTACTATACCTGTTAGACAACGACAATGATATAGAAGGGGATTGAATAGATCACTAATTTTTAAATAGAGTCGGCGTGTAAAAGAAATTAGGTTTTTAAAATTTATGCGGAAGCAGCCAATTGTTGCATCCCAAAATTTGCTCAACCTTTTCTAACTTGGTTTATGTTTCATTTCATTTTGTTCTAGCATTTGCATGACATAACATATTTCATCGAACAGGGGATCAAGAGGTTGGGCATAGCAAGAGAAGTCTTCTTAGAGGGTTGAGCCTAAGCAAGGGGTGTTACCCAAGTTTGAATGTGTTAGAACACATATTGGTTCTTAATAATATCTCTATGTTTTGATGATAACTCTTATGAAATTTTGTATTGAAGAATTATATACTCTAAAATTTGTTTGAGAATGTTTGCTGCAGATGTTAAAGTGAATATTACTCTAGAAGCAAATTAGATCTGAACATAAGAAATTTGCAAGGCTCTGAAGCGTCAGAAGCATCTCTTAGAAGATTCTGAGCGCTGCCTTCAGAAGGATCTGAAGCAGGAGCTACAGAAGAATCTGAAGCAAAGCTACAGAAGAATCTGATGCAGAAGCTACAGATGAATCTGAAGCAGAAGCCAGAAGCATTTGAAGCAATGAGGAATTCTGTATGAAGAGTTTCAAGCACAGTTACTTCAGAAGACTCTGATAGTACTAACGCTGCCAGTACTGAGGATCTGATCAAAAACTCTGCTCTAAACATTTACACGCTGAAAGCACACTTGCTGCAAAGACTCTGATTCAGCAAACTCTGATGAACATCAGAAGGCTCTGACCAATCTAGACTCTGATGATTCTTGCTGAAAATTGTTGAAGAAGAATTCAAAGTTATGTCCGTTGGAATAACCAAACGACTCTTTCCTTATTTATGCTAGACACAAGAACACAGACAAAAAGGATTTCTCTGTGCATTCTTCTTCTAGGAAAGGTCATATGATGTGAAGACAAAAAGGCTCAGACCTTTTTGATACACTGTTCTCAACGTGAAAGACTTCATGGACCTCTGTGCCTATAAAAGCAAGACTCCATTCATCTTCTTCAGTTGACGAAATACTTGAAAGAATTCATTACAAGCTCTCATACAACTTATACATTCTTGCTGAATTTATTTCATTGTTCTTCATCTTAAGTGAAAAATCACAGTTGTGATAAAGCTTTATTAGAAGCATTTTTAACACTTGTATTATTATTACATTTGATTGTAAGAGAACCTTAAGAAGATCCAGTTAGGATCAGTAGTTCTTGAGAAGACTTTGAACAGTTGTTCTTAGTGCTTACTATTGTAATCAGTTGATTAAATAGTGGATTAAGTCCTTGTTTGAGAAAGGAAAATCACTCTTGATAGGGTGGACTGGAGTAGTTGAGTTCAACGAACCAGGATAAAAATCCTTGAGTTTTTATTTCTAAGTTTTATCTTCATACTTATTCAACCCCCTTCTAAGTATTTTCTCACCTTCAGAATGGTCATCAAGTCATCTAGAAGTGGTCAATAGTCTTGTGAAAGGATGGATGGATGTATGTGAGTCAGCTCCTGATTTGGAGGCTAGTTGAAGAGCATCAGAGGGTAGTGAACTCATGATTATGGATATAAGATGTTGAGAGAGCTCATTGAGTGTTTTGGGAGCCATTTGGAGCTTATTCAAGTTGTTGTGTGAGGTGGAAGAAGCCACAGTCAAAGATGTTGCATCTAGGGTTTTCATCTAGTAAATACTCAATTAACTGTGAAATAGAAGGAGGTTACAACTCAACTCCAAGTCTTTATGGTCATGGGATGGTGTGTTGAGAGGTCTAATATATCATTTCAAGATCAATTCATCAAGGATCAAGAGTGTGAGAAGTTACTAAATTAGGGTTCTCAGTGTAAAATCCCCTGTTTAGTCCCCAACTTCAAGACCACCTATCTCAAGATACAATTATCATCTCAACTTTTGACCAACATGAAACTTGTAGAACATGTTCTTAGCTTTCTTTTGAGTACTAGAAGTCCTTGATTGGATTTATAGAATTCAAGTTATGATGCAGACAAGTTACAGGTCATCAGATGAATGTGATTTTGGTCAACAAAAGTCAACCAATTCCCAAGCCATTTTGACCTAGAAGCATGTTTCTCCTAAACTTTTGGCCAACATGAAAGTTGTAGGGAATGGTCTTAGCTTTCCAAAGAGTACTATAAGTCTTTCATCTGATTTGTAGAACTCAAGTTATGAGGCTTGCAAGTCAGGGGTATTTTGGGAAAGTAAGATTATAGGTCATAAAATTATAGGTCCATTTCACCAACTTGCACACTTCAAATGAAAATATTTTCAACATGAAACTTGCTCCAAATAGGGCCATTTGCATTACCAAATCATCTCTTATCATGCTTGGAGCTTGGATTGAAGATTTGGTGTTTGAATTTTCCATAAAGAAGGCTTAAAATGAGAAAATGGGATTTAATTCATTTGGAACTTTTTCAAGGAAAATTTATGCATATTTTGAGTGCAAATGATGTTCTAAAGACAATGCCAATTTCACATTTGCAATTAGAGGTCATTTGGTTGGTCATTTCCATGGTTTCTCCATCATGAAGTAACAAATGGGAAATCCACCATAGAATCAAAACAAGGCTCAATTCTTGACCCTTTGATCAACTCAGGCCATGTGCAATTGATTTGGAACCAAATTGAGGCTGGTGCAGTGGAGAAAACACGAGTGTTGCAAGTGAAAAAGTGAGGAAAATTTGATTTGGCAATTGGGCTTTAGGGCATGAATTAAAGCTCCATTCTCATCTGAACCCAACATATAAAAGGTTAGCAAGCTTCCCAAACCCTCAGAGCTCGAATTGGTGGTGGAATTGCAGAAATAGAAGCTTGAAAAAGCAAGAGAAAAGTGAGAATCGGTTTTGGAGTTTTGACCATTATCAAGTGAAATTGAGCTCACTAAAAGCTTCAGTCAAGTGTTTGGAACGATTCTGGGTGATTTGTTTGAAGGTTCAGCCAGAGACAAGACCCAGTGGAGGTTCTCCACTAGGTAATTTCAAAATCACCATA